AAAATAAACTTTTAAGCAGAACAGTATTTGAATAAAGCCTGTTACATTTCTAAAATAGCAACTCTAAAGCCTCCACTTTGGTTTTTATAATAACTCTTTTATGTATTAACTCATCTTAACTCATGAAGTTATAAAGTGAGATAGCAACTATTATTACGTGCCCATAAGGAGGAAGGGCTCATAGAAGTAGCATAATCAAGGTTGCATGACTAGTGACATGTCAGGAAACTAATTTGGACATCTTAATTTAAATTTCCATACTTTAAAACACTACACTCTTCCCGCCTCCCCAAATTACACAAATTCCATTTTTATATCTGCTCATGGAGGATGTACTGACTAACTTAGCGGTCATAGAGCAACCTTGGCTTGAGATTGAGGTGTGGGATCCTGCAACCTGACATGGGTGAAGTGCCTAAAGATGAATCTACGCCCACTTTTGCAAGTACAGTACACGGATAGAAAACACACCTATGGATATATTTCATGATAGCTCCTAAGTACGCCCGTGAGCAGAAACTATTAGCTGCAGCCGCATGGAGGACATACGATGTTGCCAGAGGAAACTATCTTCTTTGTAGAAATAGATCAGAAAAGTTGAAGCTGCAGATAACAAGTCATTGTGGCTTAAACTATACATTGATGGTCTCTTACAACCAGAAAAATGGAGGTTAGGAGCTCACGATTGGTCAATGGCAGGAAGCCTCAGGCACCACCTGTCTCTCTGCTGGGCCAAGAAGGTTAAGTCTCTTTGTTTGCATGATAAAATCTGCATCTTTAAATTTCACAGGCTTACCCATCAGCACCTGAAGGGACATTTTCTCACTTTGCATCTCTTTTTCTCATGAAAGAAAACCCTTACCAACCCCCCTCCTCACCCTCAAGTTCATTTTTCCCTTCCTTTCAGAGGTCAGCGTTGCAGGGCATGTCCATGCTAAGTCAACCCCCGGTTGGAGGGATGAATTGTGAGGACTGGCTTTCACTGAGCAACATTCACCTTCTAAGGATGCTAGTTTCACAGCCTGTGCAAGGGGGAACACCCCCAGCTAATTGGGAGTTATGGGTTTGGCAGAAAGGGGTTAAAGGCTGGTTTGGGTTAGGCAACCAACCAGTGTCTGCCACAAGAAAGCAGTAATGCTAAAAACAACCAGGGCTTTACAAGTAACAGGCTCAGCCACAAACCAAAGTGCCACTTTTACACGAATTCTGTGTGGAGGTGTTTTCTTCGGTCTACATACAAAATGTGAACAGTGTCATCTTTGAGAATATTGTGTTTGATTACGCTTTAAAATGGTATTTCCAGATTGCATGTCTATATCAAATCAGGTATGTTCATGTTGACTACAGAGAATGTTTAAATCATTCCTGTGCATAAAAGTATGACCTGCAGTACTGTATTGGAAGCCAAGAGAAACAAGGAATAGAAGCTCTTTTTTTTTCTTGCCTGGAGAAAGTTTTGGCATTAAAACCTAAAACCAAATCTTAGTTTCTTTAATGTAAGCCTGTAGGTGTCTGATGTATAATGCATATCTATTATACACAAAGTTTATAATAGAAACATTTCCAGAGTCAATGCTTTTAATTTCATGTCTTTATCATCTTCGTTGCCTTCTTCCTAAACTGGATTCTATTTGAAAATGTGTCAAGTAATGTTATTACTTTTAACGGTCTTTGATGTTCTGTATGCTTTATAATACCCCATTAAAACTGCAGTATAGAACATGCTCTTCATCTGCTATAATAAATGACAGTTCTTTGATCACAAACTTCAGAATCGTCCATCACTTTTCAGGAGGGAAAGAAAGCCCGTTTTCTGAACCGTGTTATAACCATACTTTTAAATATAAGCATAAGGGTTATAAATAACTATTTGTAATAGTCTTTTTGTGCTTAAGCTGCTACGAAATTGCAAAATGACACCTCCTATGACAGTATGTTGCCCAAACCTTTCACTTCTGTGACCTTCTGGTCCCTGATGGCGCCCTTTTCTGGACCGGGTCTGAAGTTTTAGGTTTGATGAAGTGTAGCTGGATAGTGGAGACAGGCAGCAGCTTGCGATGATTTTTTCTTTTTTTAAATATGTTTTTATTGATTTTTTATAGAGAGGAAGGGAGAGGGATAGAGAGTTAGAAACATCGATGGGAGGCAAAAATCGATCAGCTGCCTCCAGCACACCTCCTTCTGGGGATGTGCCCTCAACCAAGGTACATGCCCTTGACCAGAATCGAACCTGAGACCTTTCAGTCCGCAGGCTGACGCTCTATCCACTGAGCCAAACCGGTTAGGGCTTGCGATGATTTTCGTAGTTACTATCAGAATGTTTTACTTTATCAGATCATAGGCCTTATTTTCTAGCATTTAGAGATAAAGAAAATTCAAATCATCACTCACTACAGGAGTGAAGCAAAAGCAAATTGTTTCTTAATTTAAAAATGCACCCATAGAAGCCACACTGCACTCAGTAGGGTGAGACTTTGTGAATTTAAGATGAATAATCTTCCTACTCCAGATTGCAGCATGAACAGCAGGGGAGCTCACTCGCTCATTTCACCATCAATTCACGGTTTGGGATTTGAATTCCTGTCCACGTAGCTCTGATAAACTAATTGACGGCACACTTTAGATCAACTCCATAAATGCCTACGTCATCATCAGAAGAAAAAAAGTGCTGTGGGCAACTTGGGAGGCGAATGCCATCTACTTTAAGGATGAAGAGGGCTCTCAACTGTCCGGCAATCCCGGCTCAGGGATCCACCTTCACGCTAGGAAACCCCTTCCCCATCTGGTCACCATCAAGGTTTAAAGGAGCCAAAAACAACTTCTGAATTCTAGACAATGGCTCTTGGAAACAGAGGCGACCCTTGGCAAGGAAAATACCTAAAAGGAACAGCCCCTCTCTCCTCATTTCCCCCTCCCGCCCCCTAGCTCCGCTCCTGCACCTCCCAGCGCAGACTGCTACCACCACTCCTCTCCCTCGGCCAGTCTCCCGGGCAGCTCCCTTTCTGCACGGCTTGTTAAAAGCCATTTCTGCCTCTCCTCTGGAAGGCACCGGGAGGTGGGGAGCCGCGAGGGGCGGGAGGAGGTCGGGCTCTCCCAGCACACACCTCC